TGTATATATATATATATATATATATATATATATATATATGACGCTCTTATTACAGGCAAAAATATATTTTAGTATTTTCATATGTTAAGAAACAATCCGAAAGTTACTAAAAAAATCTATAAGATAATCAGAATTATATTTGCATTAAAATGCAAAATACAATAAAAAAAATAGTCAAAAATTTTTCAATAACCGATTTTATAAATTAAGGAAATTTCAATCATGAATAACTGTTTCTCTTGGATCTAAATAACTGCAAATAAGTAAAAAATTTAAATATTATTGTTTTGGAGTAAGCCGCGTTCGGAAGATTTTACCTTTAATGCTGAGAAAAACATCGGTATGTTTTATGCTGTATTTCATAACCATAAATTAATAAATGTTAAATATAAAAAATTTTCTGAAAATTCTACGCCAAAGGGATCATATACAAATAAAATATAGAAATGAAAACTAAAAATTTTGACATCACACTAACCTGATTTCACGAGCATACCGACCAGTAGCCATAGTGATACCTGTAGAGCTGGATTCAAATGAACTATATTGTCCAAAGATATCAGTTTAAACCTATGATCAGGTTTCACATGATCCGGTGAATCAAAATCTTCCTCATCAAAAGGATCCTTGGGAACTCGTTGTTTATTCACTTCATCATCTTCTTGATCGTAATTTAGAGATCGCTCTCCATCCTCCACACTAATATCTTCACTCCTTAGAACATCTGACACATGTTCCAAGGGATCATCAATATAAGTTTGGATTGAATACGAGGGGGTGGATGATTCTTGAGACAAAGATGTTGTTAAGAAACTGGATAAGGTGACGCATAGAAAAAATAAATTAAGGGAATTGAGCATGTTCTAAATGTTTTTTCTTCAAATCCCTTCGGTAATTGCGATCATCTTTATATGTTTAAAATTATTGATTATTTTTTCCCTTATAATTTAACGCTCTTTGCAAGACAGAATTAAAAAATGTTTATGAGAATGTATGACTTATCAATAGCCACCCTCTCTGTTTAATTGAAAGTAAACAAGCAGAGCTTATGACAGCTAATGACAATAAGATGTATCTCATAAAAATAAAATAATGTCAATAATTAACTATACTTGAGAGTGCTTTAAATTAAATTTGAAGTAAAAAAAGGTTGTACAGATAAAAAATAGATCGCAAAATAAAATACTGTCAGTAGAAGCATAAATCTCAACCTTAAATATCAAGCTCTACAGATCTCTCTCTCCATATAAATATATATCACAAAATAAAACACTGTCACTGAATGTACGAAACCAAAGTTTGAATCATTATTTCTGCAGAACAAGCTGCATCACAGAATAAAATAATGTCACTAACTTCATGCCTTGTACAGTAAATTCTGAAAATATAATATCATGAAATAATCAAGTGTTACTAAACTCATGAAACCTTTAAATAGTAAGTTCTGGAAGAAATATCATTAAATGAAGGCATGCCACCATCTACATGGAATTATGTTTTTTTTACCATAAATTTCAAGCTGCTGTCAAAGACGCATTAAAATCTGCACAAACTAAACGTAAATACCTAAAGTAAACAAAAGAATTGTCACGATATGAATTAATTCTAGAATGTACTGTGCAATATCTAGTCTGCTGCTGTCATTTGATCTTGACACACCTGATTCCATGTCTTGCGTAAGAAAAGATCCACAATTCTTGAAAACCAATCTTCTTTTAGTGTTGCAGATGTCACGACTAGTGTCGATCTTGTCACTCACCAAGTAGTTCACTAACTGCACCACTCGTATTTATCAAGTTATATCCTACCGTATCCATATCGTGTGAGCATACCACTTGAAGAATACATTGGAAGAGCAAGCCGGGAAGAACTCTGCGTTCATGTTCATATTCGATCTTATTTATGAACGCTGGCAGCAATGACGTCATGCATATGCAAACTTTTCACCAGTGATGAATGAATGCACGGAACAGCATTCTCAGTGATGGGTCTTGGGTAATGACAGAATTTGAATCCGAAACAATAAGAACTAATAAATTGGTCGGGTTAAATGAAAAAAACAAACTAGAATGGAGATATTATCTAGGCATCACATTACACGTTTCTGATTAGAACAAATACACCTGTGCATCGAGCTGGCTTACTGTTTTTTTCGACTTCTCGAATTCCGGAATCATTTTCTCTTATTGGAGGAAAAGTACGAGACTTGTGAAATCCTTGTATAAGTGACGTAATGAAATTTTCGCTGTGATTTGGTTGGGTGATTTTTATAACTGAGAATTATTTGTTTAAAGATTAGCTTTCCTCATATTTATTTTTTCCCATTTTTTTTCGCTCAAACACAAAGGCGCAGTTTAGTTTTGTTTTAATAAACTGTAAATATTTTCAATTAGACGGTTTGTTTTTTTAATAGTAACTAATTATATGTTTAAATAGTAACTAATTAAGGGTTTAAATAGTAACTAATTAAAGGTTTAAATAGTAACTAATTAATTTTTTTTATATAAAATTGGGTCAATCAGAGATAATGTAAAGCACTCAAAACCATGGGGCTATTTTGAAGCACTTCACAGAAATGGCAAATTTTATTAGGAATGAAAAGTGTTTATTTTCAGCAAAATATATCATATCATTTATATTTATTAGAAACATACGTTAAGATATAAAAATAATATATTTAATTTTAAAAGTTCTAAATTCAACAACAAAAAAATTTGCAATACATAAATAGTGGGACTGTTATGGTATTTGTGTAATAATGGGCTAATTTCAAAGACAAATATAAATTCAACCATTTCACTTTTTCGTCCTCGTCAGACTTAAAAATATATGTTTTGTAACGCGTAAATAATAGCTTAGATCACGAAAATGTTTTATTATAGTTTATTACGGTAAGAGTTTATTTAACTAAAATATTGGTGAGGAATGATGAGTTATTTAGCAAAAATTTAGGAGCATTAACATTTAGAATATGTTCAATGTAGCACCAATTAGAAACTATTAAATTTAGGGGACTAATATAAAGCACGTATCGGTATCTTTTTACATTTTCTGAAAAGTTAAACGATAAAGCATAATATCGATAACTTGAACCATGATACAGTGCAAATTTGTCGCAAGCTTAATAAAGTGTTAAATTAAGCCATGTTTCTGTCAAAGTTGAATCTTAGTATCGTGGAATCAAATTTAATAAGAAGCATGATGGAAAATTTTTGTATAGTGTATGTATTCTGTTAACTTTAACACTAACTTAATTTTCAACCCCTAAACAATAGTGCGATTTTGCACATGGTTTTTGAAGCTCAAATAGTATTAGAGTTAGGGTAAGTAAAAATAACTTCAATTTGTAATACTACTTACTGTCATTGTTTTAATTGATGACGTAACAGTGTAGAATGAAGTAGAAAAACGAGAAACATTCTAGAACAAATGTTTAAAAATAATTACAAAAATTTTCTGGTCTAACACTGTTTCAAATAAAGATCTACGAATAAAAGCAAAATTATCACTCATTCATGAGGAAAGTATGAAGAGAAGCTGGAGATGGACTGGGGATAACCTTCGTCTAAAACGGGATAGCCCTGCTAACATCGCAATTACTCGGGCACCTGATGGAAAACGCAAAAGAGGAAGGCTGAGACTTACTTTGCAAAAATACATGCACCAAAGGTCTGTATAAAGCAAAACTAAATGGATGGAAGGAAGGACTGGACATGGGTGTCTGGAAAAAGAGACTTGAGGTCTCACGTGCCAGCTGGCGCGAAAGGATAGGTAGGTAGGTAACAGGGTAGAGCACGGCGGAATCTTTTGATAGTTTAACCAGATATAGTTAAAACAATCAAAATATCTCTTATTGGATAATTTGGATATTTAATTAGACGTGATGACTTTCACTCAATAACATTCTCAAAATTAGAATTAAAACTTAGAAAGACACTTCCCTTACAGCAATGTGTCAACAAAAATATAGGGAAACCCATAAATTCAGAGAGGGTTTCTACTTATTTTAGACCTAACATAGAAATTTTATAAAATGTGGTTTTTATTTTCATTGAAATATGCTAAAAATATATTCATGAAAACACAAAAAAAATTCGTGAGAAATGAAATAGGGAGTATATGAACCCTTTTTCAAATCCATGAAAAAATTATTTAATTGAACACTAGTTTTTTACGAACTCTATTTTATTTATTATTTTATTTACAGTACTTGCAACTTCAATCCATCATAAAAATGTATAATTAATCTCAAATGGAATAATTAAACACTCTCAAAAGTTTGTAAATGACAGTTTCAAGTAAAGGAACTAGTGTAATTTGAAAATTTCTCAACAGAAAGTGTTTACTCCAATTGAATTACTAAAATTTCATAGTTGTCTTCAAAACCATTGACAATAACAGGAAAATAAAATTAGTGAAAAATAAGGGTTAATAAAAATATTTATCGAACATTTTTATTAATAAATATTTATTGTCTAAGCAGGAAATGCATCGTATTCCCATCACTGGTGTTTTAAGGTAATGTGCTGTTGCCCGGTATTCATTACTCGAATGATTTTTATAAGTTTAACTGTTATTGCTCCTGCCTGTTATTCATTAAAATGATGTTTCTTAAGGTAAAGGGCAATTTTCCGGCATGCATTTACCTGGTATTCCTTATACTGTTTTTTCTTTTTCTTTTTTTAGTGTAAAGGTCATTGAACGTTATTATCTAGTCTGACATTTTTAGCACCACCATAGTAGCCACCTCCAAGTAGAGAAACTTTTTCAACTACTGAAGAAAAATGCATGAATATAACAATACAAAAATAAATATTAATGCAAAGCGTGTGTCATCTCAAAGCGACGAAATGCTTTTAAATGTGTATTGTTATTTGAAGATTGCCAAATTCTGAAAACGAAAATTAATTCTGTCTGCTGTATTTGTTTCAGTAAAAATGCTAACACGCGTCATCCCCTGTCTTTCACTAATGGAACAACCCACTCCCATAGAGTGGCAATACATCAGAATTGATGGACAAAAATTGCACACTTGATGACTTAGTTCCAAGAGGTGTGTGGTCAGTTTGAGTACACTTATTTACTACAGCAGATCTCACTGGATCGTTAGAAAATGAGATTATGATATACTTTCCTGAGGGAGATAATACCTAGTATAATATACCTTTAGTTTGTAAGTTTAAAAATTTCCCGAAACTTCGAAACATGAATTTCTTAATCAAAATTGCATTTTTATAATTAAGATAAGGCCATATTTAAAGAAAATTTCAGTCTTAAATACGTGTGTCTAATAAAAAGAAAAGTGGCAGAAAAGTTATTTGGGCATTGTTACTATTTGTGTCGACTTATTTTTGTAAGTGAAGCTTCCCAACTTTGTTTCGAAAAATTAGATAGAATGTTGAGAGTGACATGCGTTGAATTCTTTCAGCAATATTCTATAGGTATAAGAATTAACAACAACAAAAAACTACTAGTTGTATATTGAAAAAAAAGTGACTAATAATACTCTATCTAGATTCTGAACTGAAATACTTTTATATGATAAGCAACAACAAAACATTTAAGTTGTTAAAAACTTTAAAAATATCACTTATGTTAAGGAAAATGCATTAAAAATAGCGGGGACTATTACAATACTAATGCTTGAAATAATTTTTTATGATGGCAACGCATAACTTTCGTAGTTAAAGTATTCTATATTCACGCAAGACAGAAATATAGAACAAAATCCTTTTTCTTTTTTTTTTTTAAATTTGCAATGATTTCGTAATCCGGAAAGAGAAAATAAAATCTTTCATTGGAAAGAATTCAAATCACAGGACATTTCTCAGAACTCTTGTGAAATTAACTTCATAATAAGCGGATACATTTCAAAAGAGTACAGCTGAGATTAATGTTTTAAGGAAAAATGTTGCTTTTCTTCCATTTTATAAGAAAAGCTAGAAGTTAATTAGTTACGACGTTTTAATTAATAGAAACGTTTATTACTAAAATTGATGGGATTTTTAAATTTTTTTTAGTTTTTTTTTATGTCTATTTGATAAGAAAGGTGAGTTACGTCATTAGATCTCTTCTAATTAATAGAAAAAGTTTATTATAAAAGTGTATTTACTAACACGAGTATAAATGGGATATTGAATATTTTTTTAGTTCTCTTCATGTCTGTTTGATAAGAAAGGTGAGTAGCTATCTCGTTAAGTCTCTTCTGATTTATAGAAAAGTTTATTTAAAAATGCATTTTCCATTATAAAAGGGATATTAAAAGTTTTTTTCATTTTTTTTTCATGTCTATTGGAAAAGAAAAGTGAGATATCTCTTCTAATTAATAGAAAAGTTTATTATAAGTGTATCTACCAATACGAGTATAAATAGAATATTAATTTTTTTTGTTTTCTTTATGACTATTTGATAAGAAAGGTGAGTGGCTATCTCGTTAAGTTTTTTCTAATTAATAGAAAAATTTATTAAAAAAGTGTACTTACCAATATAAAAGGGATATTAATTTTTTTTTATTTTTCTTTATGTCTCTTTAATAAGAAAAGTGAGTAGCTATTTCATTACGTCTCTTCTAATTAATAGAAAAATTTATTAATATAGTTTATTAGCTAATATAAATGGGATATTAAAAAAGAATTATTTTTCTTCCTGTCTATTTAATAAGAAAACTGAGTTGTTAATTAGTTGCGTTTTTTAATGAATGTTGCGGATCAATGGAGTCTAAGGGGTTGTTAAGGAATGAAATAATTAATGTTAAAATTGCTAATTAATGATAAAATTGCTTAATTAGGCATTACAGCAAGATTGTAACAAAAACAGATTATTAAACTTGACTACTAGTGAGGTACATCTCCCACGAAAAATCTTCGGGACAGATGAGTGGCGCTGCTGTCACTAAGATGTTGCGCGTCTTTCTTGGAATTACTACACCGTGTGTGTAGCATCCTGATCTAGTCGGTCCCGACCTAGCTATTAAGTGTGGACTCAAAAGTGAGAAATAAAAGAAATTTAAAAAAATAAATAAGCAAATTTAAAGTTTAATTGCTCTGTTTGACTGATAAGAAAAAGATAAAGTCAATAGTGTTTAAGTAAAAAGTTTCAAGGAATCGTGGCAAGATTTCATCAAATCTGCACATGTGGAAGACAGTCGTATCTACTCATCTTAAAAGTATCATTGATATTTTATTTACAATTAAAAGGAAGAAATTTTTATGGTTACGCTAGGCAATATTTCCCTATTTCTTTTATTCGTGATTTTCAACTCTTAAATTTATGATTAAGCAAGTGCTTTATGTTGTTGTTAATTTGCGTAGCACTAGAGCTACACAATGGGCTACTGGCGACGGTCTGGGAAACATCC